TACAGAGAGGAAGGAAAAGAGTTAGAAACATCGATCAGCTGCCTCCTGCACATCTCCTGCTGGGGATGTGGCTGCAACCCAGGTACATGCCCTTGACCGGAATTGAACCCGGGACCCTTCAGTCTGCAAGCCAACGCTCTATCCACTGAGCCAAACCGGTTTCGGCCAGACTATCTTTTGTGGTTATTTTAGGTCTCTGAGTTTGCAAGACTGCAATGCAGGCCTCCTCTGAGCTTGTCAGGTTAGCATGTGGCCCCTTTCGTCCACATTCTCCTGGCTTTAGTTAGGAATATGGTTATCCTAGCTCAAACAGAGGGCATTTGGCTCAGTTTAGAAAATTAAGCTGGGGCCCGGCCAAGGTGGCTCAGTAATTGAGCGTCAACCTATGAACCAGGAGGTCAAGGTTCGATTCCCCGTCAGGGCACGTGCCCAGGTTGCAGGCTCAATCCCCAGTGTGGGGCGTGCAGGAGGCAGCCAAACAATGATTCTCTCTCATCATTGATGTTTCTATCTTTCTCCTTCTCCCTTCCTCTCTGAAATAAATAAAAGTATATTTTTTTAAAAAGAAGAAGAAAAAAACTCAGATGGGGAAAGGCCATTTCCTATATCAGATTTGCAGGACCCTCATTTTCACAAGCCCCCGGCACAGAGGTAATCACACCTGTGGCTCTTGAGTCCACTTAATTCCTTATTGCCACTTATAACTGAAACTGAAAACAGAGGGGAAAAAGCGGTGGTGTGACCTGAGCTTTCACAGAACTGAAAGGAGAAGCAACAGCTCCATCACTGCCCTTTTCTCTACTCCCGGTACTTGCTGACTGCTAATACTTTTGTGCGGCCTTACATCTATTCTGGGTTTGGCTGCTGTGAGGGCCATGAGAATTTGCCTTGCAGACCTTCCTAATAAGTGGAGCTTAATTAACTGAGGGCTGCAGCTGCAATGCTTTAAAATCTATCTCTAAGGCTGTGGTTCTCACATTAGAATCACCTGAGAATCTTTCTAAAATCCTAATTTCTGGGCCTCATCCTCCGGAAATTCTGTTTCTTTGTTATGGGGTGGGGCCACAACATGAGTAACAACGAAACAGAATTTCCGGAGGATGAGGCCCAGAAATCAGGATTTTAAAAAGATTCCCAGATGATTCTAATGTGCAGCCAAGGTTGAGAACCACTGGTCTAGGTCCTCCACCAGGTGGTGGTCCTGAAATCCTGGTGGTTTATATTGGGTGATCTTCACGTGAACTCAACAGTTCAATTCGGAAAGCATGGTTGGGACCTGTGTTGAACGTTCAATATTTCCAAACAGACAAATGCCTGAAGACGTCAGCCTTTGCTAAGGTACTTGCTGAAGCGTGAAAGTGTGATTAAAGTGTTAAACTTGAATGGGATCGAACAAAATAAGCGACCACAGCAGGAACCGGAGGACACCAAAGAAGAGACAAAAGAGCTTGACCTGTGCGCACAGGTCGGGCACATCGGAGCAGAGGGGAGGGAGGGCGTGGAGAGCGGTTTCTGGGTCGTTGGTCCAGACCCGAGAGCACCGACCGCCCTCGCGGCGCGGGTCCGAAGCCTGGGAGGGGCGGCGTCCACACCGCTGGGGGAGGGGAGGAGAGATGCCTGGGACTCAGACGCATTATTTGTAACCCCACAATCACGGACACAATTTAATTTAAAAAGTATAAGGCACGTGTTCAAAAAAACACCATGACAAACAAATGAAGCTTTCTGGATCCCTGGGACTGTTTTACTAAAACCTTGGCTGCGGATCTCCTGTTGTGCAAGAGACACAGAAGACAAGTGGCTCCTATCGGGTTATGGGTGAGAGAGAAGGTGTGGAGAGGAGCCAGCAAGGCCTAATTTAAGAATAACAAAGGCGTCCCTGGGTGGGCTCGAACCACCAACCTTTCGGTTAACAGCCGAACGCGCTAACCGATTGCGCCACAGAGACCCACGGGAATAACTGCTCTCTAGGCAACATAGAGCCATCAGGCTCTCAGACACCGCTACGCGGAGCCGCCCCTGTTACGGGACCGATGCCGTGCAGACTCTAAACCTCCGAAAGCGTGACAGGTGGTGCCCGGCCTGGCTCCGCTTCTGCTTCAGATGCCTGCGCCCCGGACGCCCGGCGGGAAGGAACCCAGACCACAGTGCGAGGGGGAGCTCACAGTGTAGAGCTGGAAAGACAGAATCCTGGTGGCACTTCAGTTCCTGTTTCCAACTGTACTAGGGTCCTTTTTGCACTTGGCTTCGTGTGTTGTTGTTTTTTATCTCATTAACCAGATTCTATTCTGAAATATTTTTGAAATATAGTCGCGAACTTTTCTCACTTATCTGTGACTTTTCCCCTGTACAGCCAGAATCACCATCCATTGCCAGGGGTGCTCAGCTTTTGACTTCCGAAATAAGCTCCCAAAGCTACTTTCAGAGTCAACTGATGTGAATGAAGCTTTTTTTTTATAAAGAGATTTTTTTTTTTTATGGAGGAAAATATTTTCTTAGGAATAAAAAATCAAGGACCTGAAGAAGGTCAGATGGATAAAAAAAAGAAAGGAAAACGTGTCCATATAAATAGATTTAAGAAATAATCGATAAAACATTTTGTTATTTAATATATCCGTGTCTCCGCTTCTCCAAATTGAGATAATAATAAGAGTGGCCACATACTGTTTTTTGTTCCTATTAAATGAGTCGAACTATTTAAAGTGCTTACAACAGTGCCTCCCAACTGGGTCTGTTGGGAAGACATGGAGGTGACAGGACATGGCCCCTGGCTTGGTGGAGGACACAGACAGCAGCCCCACCACGGAGCAGCATGACACACATCTCCACGGGGAGTTCAGGCCCCAGGGAGGGCAGGAAAGTCCAAAGGGAAATGGGTGGGGGCCCAGCTGAGTCCCAAAAGGCAAGTGTTGGCAGACGGGCAAGTGTGGAAGGGATGGTGATGGGGCCCCATTTACAGGAAAGAGCTCCTTCCTGTGTGTGTGTCCGAACAGATCTGAGCAGGCCCCTCCCAGGCTGACAAAATCAGGACTGGCAGGCAGGGCCGTGAAGAAATCCCCCAGGAAGGGGCCGGAGGAAGGCGAGGAGGACGGGGCTGAGATGTCCCCTTAGTACTCAATGGCCTGTGAAACCCAACTCGGTTCCGATGAAACGGGCAGGAAGAATCCTCCCTGGGCCCGGGAAGGACGGCCTGGGTCTCTGGACGTGAGGACGAGGCCCACAGGGATTCCAGGCAGGTTCCTGTATTCCTCCCTCCAACACGGCGGACCACCCACTGTGTGCTGACACTGGCCCGGTGGGAAGGATGGCCCCTGGCTTGGTGGAGGACAGACAGCAGCCCCACCGCGGTGCAGCAGGACACACACCTCCACAGGGAGTTCAGGCCCCAGGGGGGCGGGGGGCGCAGGAAGGTCCAGAGGGAAATGGGTGGGGGCCCAGCTGAGTTCCAAAAGGCAAGTGTTGGCAGACGGGCAAGTGTGGAAGGGATGGCGACAGGGCCCCACCAGGGAGCAGCAAGGCAAAACCCCCTTCAGAGCTTGACTGACAAGACACAAAGGTCCCCACTCAACCTGCAGGGCACTTCTGCTCCTCTGTGATACACAGACCCAGCTGGGAGAGAGCCAGCCAAGGCCCTTAAATGACACACACACACACACACACACACACACACACACACACACACACACCCCGCCCCAATCACCTGCACGGGGGAGCAATGAGGATGATGGCCCATCATTCCCTTAAAACTCATTGTTTCTACCACAGTAACTTTAGGACGTGGGTTCCCAGACAATCCTCAGAGAAGAAACCCACCAAGATGAGTCCTCGCAGGGCCCGAGGCAGAGGAGACCCTCCCAGAGAGATTCTGCATCGGATTCCCGAGCTCTCGGAGAGAGAAACACAGACAACACAGACAGGGCGGGGCAGGGCTCAGCTGGGAGGGGTCAGGGGCCAGGGAGGATTTGGATCCGTGAGTCACCAGCAGCCCTAAGCTGGAAAACACCACGTCTATCATCATTTTTTATTAGTAAAACCAGACCCAGCCCTCCTTCCTCCAGGAAGACTTCCCTGATTGACAGTCACCCACGTGCCACTCATCGCTCTTCCCCCTAACAGGCTGGATTGTTGGCTCTGCCCTGGTCCCCGTCCGACTCAACTTCACAAAACCCACCTCATGGTCTACCTCCCAGACTGGCCCTGACCCCGCCACCCCAGGCAATTGCCAGCATCATCTTCCCGCCCGTCCAGGCCCCTTCCAGGCGCTCCGTTTGCACACTGATCCTTGGGGCTCTCATCCAGAGACAGAGACCTTCAAGCCAGGGTCCATGTCGAGTGTGCCTCTGCCCTCCTGTCCCGTCCCACCATGTAGGTGCCTGAAGGAGTGATCAGCATCTCGTGTCAGAGGCTCAGCTCCCCAAAGAGAAGACTCCTCTCCCTCAGACAGAGGCTGAGAGCAGGGGCTGCCTCCCCCCTCAGACAGGGGCTCCTGGGGCCAGGGGCTGCCTCCCCCCTCAGACAGGGGCTCCTGGGGCCAGGGGTTCTGTCTGTCATCCAAAATAGATGACCGCCTATTTGGGGATCCAAACCTCCCCTCCTGGACCCATGGCTGACGCCCTAACCATGAAGAGAGAGACACCAGAAACTGCTGTGAAGTTGCTTTATTCTCTTCCTTCCCTGGTGTCCTTCCACACCCATGCACATGCCTGCGCACACACATGGGCACACGCAGACACGCGTGGCAGAGCTCCACTGGGCCGCCCGGCTGGGTCACGTGGCTCCTGGGGCAGGCCTGGGAGGCTGCCCGCTCCCTCTAGTAGAGGCTGTGCTGGGCGCAGTAGTGGGCGCACAGCTGCCGGTGGTACTGCAGGTGGTAGTCCCTCAGCAGCTGGCCCAGGACGTACAGGAACTCGTCAAAGCAGATCTGGTTGTCCTTGTCCTTGTCCGCTGCCCGGAACAGCTCGGTGATGAAGTATGGCTTCTCCCGGCCCTGAGGAGGGGCAGAGGGTCAGCCAGCCCCCAGGCACTCGGCCCGGGCAGATGGTCCGGCTCCACCGCCCACTGGTGAGGAACTTGGCCCTGCCTGCCAGGGGCTCGCGGGAAACAGCTCCTCGCTCACTCGGTGGCCAGGACACTGCGCGGCAGAATCAGGCAGAAGGGGCACAGGGTGCCGGCACCTGGACCTGGGCCGCATGGGCAGACAGATGGTGCAGACTGGGCACCGCTTGCTGGCTGGCCGGCTAGTGGCTGAGCAGGGCTGCCCTCTGCTGGGGGCTTTTAAGCCTGTCTTCCCAGCTGCACATACACCCTGCAGGGGCCGCCCAGCCTGGGGCTGCACACCGGGAGCTGTGGAGTCACCGCCCACCTGTCCCTCAGGCTGCACCTCCAGCACCATTGCAGGTCGGCACCCAGTGGGTCGGATTCCCGCAGGGCGTGCCATCCGCCCAGGATTGTTCATGGCAACTGGCCTGTGTCCTCAGGGAAGTGCAGAATGGGGGAAGGCCACCGCCATGGGCCCTGGGACTGTCCGATGTCCCAGAGCAGTGGCCCTGAGGGCTCAGGACCGGGGGTGGCATAGGAGAGCAAAGGAGCTTTCGAGGTGGAAGGGACAGCAGGGAGGAGGTCAATGGTCAGCGTGCATGGAGGAGACAGGACAGGCGACGATGAGGAGAGCCCCGGGCAGGGCAGGGGCAGTGAAGCAGGTTTCAGCAGGATTGGGCTGGAGGCGGGGACCCAGGGTGCAGCCCTCAGAAAGCCTCCGGGAGGGAAGTCACTGCCTCAGGAAACAGCTGGGGGCCTGGAGGGCAGCTCCCACCCTGGGGCAGACTGGCACCCTCTGTCCCCCCCACCACCCTCCACCAGCTACTTCCTTTAACCTGTCCCCTCCACAGAGCTGGCTGACCCCACAGAGCACAGGCCTCCTGCCTGGGGCAGCTCTCCCAGGCTCCCCTCACTCAGCCCACCTGCCCAGGCCGCCATCTCCGCCCTGTGCCCAGGTGCCTGCCCCGTGGGCCCCGTACCCAGGTGGAAAGGTTTCCCTAGAAACAGGGGCCTAATCACAGTCCCCCCGTCCCTGCTCTGTGACCTCGTGGCTGCGCTCCGATAAGCCCAGGACCAGACTCTCCTCTGATGTTCCCCAAAGGGAGGCAAGGCAGACCCGCAGGGACGAGGGGTGCTTGTCCCGGATGAGCAGCCTTGACTCACCCGGGGGCATGGCACCGAGGACAGACACTCGGGTTGGCCTTGCATCCCCAGGAGCCGGGTAATCACATGGCTCGTCCTGATGGCAGAGGAGATTCCAGGCCTGAGCAGGGTGGCTGAGCAGCCTAGACTCGGGGCTGGGCCCCTAGGCTAGTCTGAGACAACCTGGGACAAGAGGGGGAGGGGAAGCTCCATTTCCTACCTGCCCACACCTCGTCCCTCCTGGCTCCCCTTTAACCCATCGATCCTCCCCAGCGTGGGGGTGGGGAGGAGGAGGCTGTGCTAGACCCCAGGAGAAGGGGCTGGGCTCGAGGAGCAGGCTGGGCAGGGCCGAGGGGCAGAGGGAAGGGTTAGGACCTGTTCTCAGGGGAAGCAAAACAAGCAGAGCAACAAAGGGCTTTGGGGTTCGGATGGCGTCTCAGGGATTAGCGACGCTTGGGCTGGAGTGGGGCCAGGCAGGGAGTCTCGGGAGAAAAAGCCGCCAGGGCCGTCCTCCCTCTGGCCGCTGATCCTGCCTCGGCCCTCCCCTCCCCTAAGTTCAAATGCTCCTGGGAGATGCTCCCCGTACCAAACCCTCACTTCAAACCCCACAACCCACCCTCCACTCCACCCACCTGCCCCCAGGCCCCGCGCACCAGGCTCTCCATGAAGCGGGGCACGTTGTCCCTGAGCAGGGCCTTCAGCTCCTCCAGGGACAGGGTCTCCACGTCCCCCTCCCGGGCCGCGTACTGGTGGTAGCTGTGGATGATTTGGAAGAGGGATTCCTCGACTGGCGTGTCCGTCATGGCAGCGGGGCCCTTTGATGGCCGCGGGACAAGGGCCAACTCCAGAGATGTGGAGGTGGAGCAGCTGCGGACAGTGGAGAATCCGGGAGAGAGAGCAGCACCTCCTCTGGGCCAGCCCTTCCCTTCCTGCCCACCTTGTCTCAGGCCCCTCCCTGCCCATCCTCGGTGCCTCCAATTACCGCAGCCAATGTTGTGACTCCTCACAGGTTCCTGGGCAGCACAGCTGAGCCTTCACTGCATTCCTGGGATGACATCACACGCACTTGCTCCCTAAGATGCACTCAGCCAGTTTCAGGGACCCACCTTCCCTCAGAGCCTGATCTGAAGCATCTCAGACCCACACGAGGTCACAAGGTTATCCATCTCCCTGCCTCCAGCTCATCCTCCCAGCTCCAGGGCTTGGGTGGGGCTGCACACACAGCTCCAATACATCTCCTTGCATGTCCTACCTCAATTAGTGAACCCCCAGACTCCACCGTCATGAAGGACAGTCACTCATCCGACAAATATTTCTCGAGGCTCCGCAGCGTGCCAGGGCTCTCCAGGCAATATGAGTAGGACACGCGGCCAGCTCACAGGGCGGGAACGAGTGGAGGGGACAGTGACACACTGTGAACACTGCTGATTTAGTGGCACAAACGGGGCACCCAGGAAGGGACACCGTCTGCCTGGAGAGTTGAGGAAAACTTCCTTAGGAGGCAACATTTAGGTGGGATTGAAGAAAAGAGGTTATTGCGAGGAGAAGCACGGAGGACCAGCACTCCAGACGGAGGGACCGCATGGTCAAAGGCTTGGCCTCCAGACAGCTACCACCTGGGCCTTTGAGTGGCAGGTGAACTCCTTCCCCCATCTCCAGCTTTCTGTCCGCCAGCCAGCCCTTCTATCCCTGGGAGGGGCACACAGTGGGGAGTGAATCTCCCAGAAGGGGGCGCCAAAGGGCAGGTTATTGAACCAGAGATTAAGCCTCCACATCCCTGAAGGTTTGAGAGAAACAGGTAAATACTGAAGCCAAATTTTTTTCCAGTGTACAGGGTGAGCCTTCATCTACCCAACATAATGATTTCCTCGGCAAATAAGTGGTTCATCAATTCACCAAAATAAAAAATGGCTCACGTGTCTAAGAGGTAAAACAATTCGGCAATGCCAAGCTAGAGTCACAGAGAATTTATGGAATACCTTAGATTCAGCCATCATTCCCCTGGGAATTTATCCCAAGAAAGTAATTAAACAGCAATAAGTCTGGTAAAAAAGCAATAAGTAGGTGTTTACCACAGCAATGTCTATAGCCGCACAGGGAAGATAAAAACCTAGAAACCGTGTTGGCTCAGTGTTTGAGTGCCTACCTATGAACTAGAGGGTCATGGTTTGATTCCGGTCAAGGGCACATGCCTGGGTTGCAGGCTTGAACCCCAGTAGGGAGCATGCAGGAGGCAGCCAATGAGTGATTCTCTCTCATCACTGATGTTTCTATCTCTCTCTCCCTCTCCCTTCCTCTCTGAAATCAATAAAAATATATTTTTTAAAAAACAACCTAGGAACCACCTAATTAAGGAATTTGGTGTGCCAATATGATAATTTATCACTTAAAAATAATTCATTTTTGACACAGAGCTTGTTGGGGGTAGAGGTTTCATATTGTACCCCCTTCACCCTGCCTTTTTTTTCAATCTGGGACAAAAAAAAACCCCGCGCCCCCCGTCCCCCGTCCCCCTCCCCCACACACACACACACACTGTCCCAATACACGGTGATGATCTCCTTCCACAGCTGTGCTGTAACTAGTCTTTTTCATTAATACTATGCTGTGGACATCTGCTCACACACTAAGTCAATGTAGCCTGATTTTTTAACGAGTGCATAGTGATCATTTACTTGCATATATCAACATTTGTGCTTTTTTTTAATATATTTTATTGACTTTTTACAGAGAGGAAGGTAGAGGGATAGAGATTTAGAAACACTGATGAGAGAGAAACATCGATCAGCTGCCTCCTGCACACTCCCTACAGGGGATGTGCCCACAACAAAGGTACATGCCCTTGACCGGAATCGAACCTGGGACCCCTCAGTCCACAGGCCGACTCCCTATCCACTGAGCCAAACCAGTCAGGGCAACATTTGTTCTTTAATCCATTACCAGTAGCCATTTAAATTATGTTAGGTCCATACGATTCACGGTTAATTCTTTCTTAACACTGACATCTCTTATTAGATTTTATTAAATATAACTTTATTAACATTTTATTATATTATATTTGAAATACATTTTATTTTAACTGAATATTACAGAAACTACATTAAAAATTTAAGTATATCTAATATAAACACAAAAAATGTAAAAGCTGCAATTAAAGGGGTGAGCAGCAGGGGGAAGCCCCCTCTGTCATGGCAGCTACACACGCTGCGGCCCAGGACCGGGGACCACGGGCCTCGCAGGAGCTGAGGCGAGTTGCCCACACGCTGCAGGTGGTTCTTCTGCCTCGTGAAGGTCAGTGAAAGCTGTGCCCGGAGCCCGCTCTGCCTCTGGAGAGGCCACTGGAGTCGGTGTTGCCTCCTGAGGTCTTTTTTTATCTGGCTCTGGAGCTGGTTCTGTAGATCCCAGAAGAGAACATGTTACCACCATGACTGCCTCCATGTGCCTTCCAAAGACAGAACATCTCTCCTGTCCATCGATGGAGTCCCAGTGCCAGAGCCCACCCCAGGAAGTCTTCCCAGACTGCAGGCCATGGGGACAGTGATCTGAGCCGGCTCTGCCCCTGGCCTCTAAAAGCTCTTCTCTGTGTGGCCGAGCCCCAATTCCTCCCCACTCGCCCACACTACCCTCCCCGCGTCCTCCTCACCCTCTGCCTCTGCGGGCTCTCGGCGCTCCAGCTCTGAAAGGAGCAGCTGGGCCTGGCGCTCCAGGTCTGAGCCTGGGAAATTGAGCTCCAGGTAGGCCAGCAGCATCACCAGGCCTGGGAAGTCTGGGGGCTGGAAAAAATCCTGAGGGCACTGGTCCAGCCACAGGCCCAGGATGGAGATGATGGCCCTGGGGAGAGACGTGGACAGCAGAGTCTGAGGCCTGGCCTTTCCTTCCACACTAACCTCCCGGTGTCCCTGTGGGACCCGGGGTCCTGTGCCTCCTGCTCCTGCCCCCCTTCAATCCGGCAGAGGTACACCTGGCCACCAAGGAGGGGCTGGCTGAAGCCTTCCTAACCGAGAGCTCTTGATCAATAGTGAGACTACCTGGCCCTTCTTCAGGGAGGCCTGACAGTCAGTGTCCCTGCCCCCTTCCCGGAATGTCAACTCCCTGAGGGCAGGAAAGGGTGGTGTCTGCTCTGTTCATTGCCCTCATTGGTGCACAGTAGGGGCTCCATAAATATCTGATCAATAGGAGAACAAAAGGTCTGTTTCCCGCCCTGGCCTCTTAGAGATGTCCTGGCACCTCAAACTTTTGCTGCTGCTAATTCACTAGGTGCCCCGTGTGCTGCTTCTCCTCCCACTGACACTCAACTCCCACAGGCGGGGAGCACCAGCCAAGCACCCACTGTGGAGGTTCTACCAGATTGGTGAGCAGGGTGCCCCCCACACCCCCTTGTTCTGGGTCCCAGGGTGGGGGAGTGGATGCAGGGCTGGGTGGGGAGGGGATGGGGATGGATTTTCTGAGGGGCTGACTCTGTCCACTAACCTCCCAATGCTCTCCCACCACCCAATCCACATCCAAAGCTCTCTTTGACCTTCCCTTTTTTCTAGGTAAAGTCCTCAGACCTGGGTCCTCTTGCAGAAATCCCACAATGTGTGGGATGCAGGGTTCTGCCAGCACCTCCAACTCTTAGTCCCTATACTCCCCTCATGGCTCTGATCCAAAGCCCACTCACTTTTTCTGCTGGTCCACAGGCCCACCATCCTCTTCAGCATACGGGAAGATGCAGCCATACCTAGAGGAGGCCAGGAGGACGTCACATCGACTGCCCTGTGGACACCACCTGCCTGTGAAGTCTAGTGTGACTGTCTCACTCCCGACTACAAGGAAGCTCTGGAAAGCAGGGCTGGGGTCTGCGCTGTGCACTGGATTATGGTCAGTGCCTAGAACATGCCTGCACCTGCCGATATATTTGCTGAATGAACGAGCCCCATCACAGGTATCTCAGTTAGCCCACTGCTCACCCCTGGGATTCCTGCTCTGGCTTCACCCAGGACACAGAACCCTAATGAAATCTCCAATCTCCTTTTCAAATGAGAAAACAGCTCAGCCCAAGGCCCCAAGGAAAGTGAGGGATGAGGCAGAGGCTTCATCATGAGGAAGAGAAAATGACCAATTAGCACAACTACCACCCCTCCGGCAGACCTCTCCAATGGCCAGGCCCCCAGAGAGCACGTTACAGGGAGGACCCCACCAGGTTTCTATAAAAATCCTATGAGTTTGCTCCTGGGTTCACCCCGCTGCTCAGAGGAGCACACAGACTCAGGGAGATGCAGTGACCTTCTGAAGACTCACAGCTAGCAAGTGCCCGGATGACCACTGTGCTGTGGAGGGGCAGGTGCTCACCTTGTCAACAGTAGGTCCAACACCTGTCGGGTGGTGGCGAAAGTTCTGTAGTTCCGGAGAAAGGTGGGGACGAAGGTGGGGTCCCTGCCCAGGAAGGCAGGCACCAGGTGCTCCACCAGCTTGTCCAGCCGGTGTGCCCGGGCGGTCTGCACCATACAGAGCTTATTTGTGCTCCCGGTTGATGCGGTTTGCCCCTGGGGTGGGACAGAGGAGGGACACGCAGTCAAAACAGCATCACGGACCACCAGGTGGGTGGGCAGCTGCAGCTCAGACCTAACCCACAAGCCCTCAGTGACTGGTGGCAAGGGGGGACACCAATGCTTGCAGGAGGGAAAATGTTCTTGGCATGAAAAGTAGAATTGCCCCTTGGTATGCTCAGTGGTTAGAGTGCCCACCACCACCACCACCACCACCCCACCCCCCCACCCCCCCACTCCCGCCTCTCCGAAAGCTCTCAGTTCAATTTTGGTCAAGGGCACCTACTGGGTTGCACATTTGCTTCCCATGCCCCCTGTCGGTCAGGGCGTGCATGGGAGGCAACCAGTCGATGTGTCTCTCTCACATCATTGTTTCTCTCTCTCTCCCCCTCCCTTCCTCTCTTCCACTCTCTCTGAAAAGCAATGAAAAAAATATCCACAGGTGAGTATTAACAACAGCAAAGTAGAACTGGAGGTGTGGGACAATGAAGCACATTAGTAACCTAGGTCATATTTTGCTAGCTGAGGATGGACAGCCCGTCCCTGTGTTAACAGTGTCATCCCTGGGATTTCTGACAGAGCATCCCATGCTAAGATGAGAACACAGAGGCTTTTCATGGGGTGGGAGGGGTCAGGATATTAGGACAGGTGAGATGTTCAGGACAGCACTGTTGACATGGCAACAGAAGGGGATCAGTCCAGGCCCCACAGCAGTGAAGGGCTGGATTGCCATGGTAACTGGTCCCCCTCGGGGTATGATATACAGCCCTGGGAGACCCCAGCTCCTGACCTGGAGGGGCCACCAGGATATATTCCTCTGGGGCAGAAAGTGGCAACACAACAAGACATGGTACCATGAGCCCCGTGTCTTTTGGGGGACAAGCATCCCTACTATTCATGATGGTGGGTAAGACTGAGAGAGGCATGCAAGGATTGTCAGGCCAACATGGATACCTGGGGATGGGTGTTAAACAAGAAAATCTGTAGAAAAATGCAGAAATACTCTTGACTGAACGTGAGGTGAAATGATACAAACGCCTCCCTTCCCTGATATTCCTACAAATATGCAGACAGTGACTTTGCTCCTGGTAGGAAGGGGCTGGACAGTGAGGGTGGGTTGGGGGAGAAGATGGAAACCCAGGTTCCTTTGGGAGCAGGACTCTAGGAAGGGGCTCCAGGGAGTAGCAGGGTGGCTTCTGGAACCAGGGCCCCTTTGACTCCTGGGATCCTGGAGGCCGGGCCACCTGGGCCTCTGCACTCACCTTGAGACCGAGCGGCACTCTTTTGGCAGCGTGGGGCCCCTGTGCCTCCTGCTGGGGGATGGCGTTGAGAACCCCATCAGTCGGCTCCTGTCTGACCTCCTGTCTGACCTCCTGTGGGGAGCTCTGTAGAGACAGTGCCCAGCCGCCAGGCGGAAAGCCTCAGAGCCCGGCCTGTGCTTCGCAGACCCTGTGGTTCTTTCCACTCCAGACACATACACCACATTTTACTCAGACCTCCACGAAGGACAGAAAAGACGTGACAGCCTGAGGGCCTAGGATTGTCATTGGCACAGAGGAAAGGCCCCTTGGAAAGCCCCTCTCTGTGCTGGCTGTGGTCATGACAGCATCACTAGGATATGCCCCGCCCTGCAACCTGCCCAGGGGTCCTCCCTTCAGGTTCCCCTTCCCCCACACGGAGAGGAGGGGATGGGGGCTGCCCAGGGATGGCTCCCAGAGGTGGCCGGGCCTGAACTGGGCTGACTGAGGCTGCCTGTGTTACCTGAGGGGATCTCCTGGAGAATGGCCAGAGACGCCGGGGATGAGGGTTGAACCAACGTCTCCAGAATTTGGAAAAACTCCCACTGTGGGGTCTCCGGGAGCAAGAGCCCCGATAACTAGAGATCCAGCAAGAGGACATCTTCAACTCTCAGTGTCTCTTGCCAAGTGAACTGGCGGTTGGTCTGCTGTTGGAATGTGGCTGCCTGGTTACGGGGGGTTCTAAGTTCTTTAGGGAAGTGACCTCACTTCCTGTGATCCCCTTCCCTGAGTCCCCTCCTCGAATAACAGATATCCAAATAGTCCTCGGGGTTGCTGACTGCTCACACCCCTTCTCCATGGAATACATATCGGTCCCCACTGACACCAACACGCCTTCCTCCACAGCCCCCTAGGAGGTCTGGGTACAGCCAGGGTCCAAGATTTGAGGAGATAGACCTGGGTTCAGACTCAACCCCTCATTCTTTCTTCTTCTTGATCCTGGACAAGCCACGGTGGCTGTCAGGGCCTGTCTGTCTCCTGCCTGCACAATGGATTATGCAGCATGTACGTCTTGGGAATAATGTTCAAGCACATGTGGGAGAGCAGCTGTAAAGTTGGAGGAGTGCTGTCATGTGGAAGAAGTGCCTCCGACCTGTTTTTGCTTTCTCTTGTCACCTCCTCTATGTCTGCTCTTCTTAGTATCCCTCCCCTAGTCATTACAGCTAAAGCCAAGGGCCATCTGGATACTTACAACACCATCCAAGGGCCATACAAAATTGTCACCTTAAAAATCAGCCTGCTGTATTTGGTCAAACATTTAATTAACTCATCCCTAATGCCTTGGCAGGGCCAGACCAAATGATTTTGTGGGCCTTATACAGGCCGCTGGCCGGACATTCCCCACCCCTGACCTAGCGTGTGTGTGTGTGTGTGTGTGTGTGTACACTCGCACACATGTCAGTGCTCACTTACTGGATCCCAGAAAGAAAAAAAAAAACACAGTCCTCACATAGGTAGGAATAGGCAAGAGCTTCCCATATGTTAGGATTTCTAATTTTCAAACCAACCCTATCGGACAGGTTGGACTGCAGGGGTCCTCAAACTACGGCCCGAGGGCCACATGCAAATACAAATATTGTATTTGTTCCCGTTTTGTTTTTTTACTTCAAAATAAGATATGTGCAGTGTGCATAGGAATTTGTTCATAGTTTTTTTTTTAAACTATAGTCCGGCCCTCTAACAGTCTGAGGGACAGTGAACTGGCCCCCTGTTTAAAAAGTTTGAGGACCCCTGGTTGGAGCCTTTGCCTGGAAGGTCACAACACTCCTGACCTCTGGACTCTGCCTGTCATGCACCTTGACCCGTCTCCACCTCACTATGGGCCGAAATCATCCAATTTAGACTGAGATTCAAACCTGCATAAGCATGAGCTCTGCATAAAGGAGCCCCCAGCTCCCTCCACCCTGGTGGCTGTGGAGAGGAAGGCACCTCATATTCCCTGACCGGGCCTGTCCTCAGACAAGGACTGGCTAAATGCTCGTCTGGACGGCCAAATGCTCACCCTCTCCCCTGTGCCATCTCCATGGCTGCACATGGTTCCATCAGCACAGTCTTTTCCAGAGCCCCTGAGAAAGCCTGGGTGCAGCCAGGACCCCAAGTGTGAGGACACCATTGTCTCTGTGATTCTGGGCAGAGCAGGGGCCTTTCAGAACCGTCCACTTCTCCCCCGAGTGGCTCCCCACGACTCACACCTCCTGGAGGACACATCCTCCTGTGATGTAGATGGTGCCCTTCCCTTAAGTGTGGCCTCCATTAGTGACTCCCTAGGAGACAGCAAAGTGACCCAAGGTCACTTCCAAGATTTGCTTATAAAATATCAGGGCCTGACCACTTGCTCGCTCTGATCTGTGTCTCTCTCTCTTTTTTTTTTTTTTTTCTGTACATCAGGTTATTTATTCACTTGATTCTTAGATTCACTTGTTGATAGATGCATATTTGTTGTTCATAATTTGTATCTTTACCTTTTTCTTCTTCTTCCTCTTCTTAAAGGATACCTTTCAGCATTTCATATAATACTGGTTTGGTGGTGATGAACTCCTTTAGCTTTTCCTTATCTGTGAAGCTCTTTATCTGACCTTCAATTCTGAATGATAGCTTTGCTGGATAAAGTAATCTTGGTTGTAGGTTCTTGCTATTCATCACTTTGAATATTTCTTGCCACTCCCTTCTGGCCTGCAAAGTTTCTGTTGAGAAATCAGCTGACAGTCGTATGGGTATTCCTTTGTAGGTAACTGAGTTTCTTTCTCTTGCTGCTTTTAAGATTCTCTCTTTGTCTTTTGCTCTTGGCATTTTAATTATGATGTGTCTTGCTGTGGTCCTCTTTGGATTCCTTTTGTTTGGGGTTCTCTGCGCTTCCTGGAACTGTAAGTCTATTTCTTTCACCAGGTGGGGGAAGTTTTCTGTCATTATTTCTTCAAATAGGTTTTCAATATCTTGCTCTCTCTCATCTTCTGGTACCCCTATAATTCGGATGTTGGTACGTTTGAAGCTGTCCCAGAGGCTCCTTACCCTATCTTCGTATTTTTGGGTTCTTTTTTCATTTTGCTTTTCCGGTTGGGTGTTTCTCGCTTCTTCGCATTTCAAATCTTTGACTTGATTCTTGCGCTCCTCTGGTCTGCTGTTGGGAGTCTGTATAATATTCTTTATTTCAGTCAGTGTATGCTTACTTTCTAGTTGGTCCTTTATCACACCATCGAGGGTCTCATTAGATTTCCTGTACATCTCATCAAGTTTATCGACAGACTCTAGAAGCCTCTTGAGAGACCTCAAAAGTGTGGTTCTGAACTCAATATCCTCCCTTGATAGTTTTGTCCTGTTTCTTTGTCTCCGCATTTTTTACGCTTTCTTGGTACACCCCCTAGTGGTCTTTGTGTGCAGTCTTGTTGTAGTTAAGCCTTGATTGTTGTAGTTAATACTAGAGGGATTTGACCTCCAGGCCGACTGGCTGTGATAATCAGCTGATCTGTGTCTCTCTATCTCTCTCTCAGATCCCTCATTCTGGGGACTCGGCCTCTGTGCTATGAGTTGCTGTCTGAAGAGACCCACGTGGTCTCGCACCGAGGGGAAGTCGGGCCTTCAATCCAAGCTGAATCCTGCCAAGACCCCCCGAATGAGCTCAGATCCCGAGTGAAACAGATCCTGCCTCAGTTGAAACCGCAGCCCCAACCTCCTGGGAATCACTGGCAGAAATACTCAGCTGAGCCTCTCGGGATTCCCCGTCCAAGAAACTGAGATAATAAGTGTTTCCTGATCGTCGCTAAGTGATGGGTAGCGTTGTCACACGGCAATAGATCACTAATGCAGCTGCCCCTGCACCAGGCCCTGGACCAGTCCTCCTCCCTCCCACCCTCCCTCCCCTATCTCCTCCCAGGCTCCCTCCAGCCACACCCACCTCCTTTCTAAGCTCCTCTCTGTCCAGACACCTTCTGCCTGCAAGTGTCTGCATAGTTGTGCCTTCTGTCAGGAGAAATATGCCTAAGGATCAGGGAGCCGCGGAAGGAGTCATCCACATGGACAAATGACTCACCCACCGAGTTTCCTGCAGGTGGGACAGGAGATTTTGGAGGCAGTTGCCTAATTTCTCCCTGAAGAATGTGGCCTGATTGAGGGGTTAGCAGGAGACTGTGAGTAGGAGGTAGGGAGTGACCCAGCTGGATGATGGGATCCTCAAGGAGGGGAGCTACTGAAGCAGCAGGGACATGCCTAGAGGTGGCCCTGGATGTGCAGGTGAGTGCTGACTGGCCTCCTGGCACATGGAGAGACCCCATCTGTGGGAGAGCCAGCGCTTGCTCAGGCAGCCCCTGTGTCTTGCTTCTTTCTAAATGCTCGGCCTCTACCACCTTGCCTGGCCTGAAAGAGCCTGTGGGTAATGGCACGTCTCTTTCCGAGACTAGTGGAGTGGATGGTCACTGATGACTCAGCATGAGCTCTCCGCTCCTCCCTCGTGCCCTCTCCTCCCCGCTCCTCTTCAGTCCTGTCTTCTCACTTGCTGCCCAGACACTCTCTGGACTCCAGCACTACTTTACTCCTCATGCCTGGAACAGCCATCACTCTGTGCTTTACCCAGACACCCAGCTCCCAGCATTTAGCAAACCATTGGGAGGATCAGCTCAGCAGACAGGGTGGCTCTCTCACCTCCACAGGGACACCACACAGGCTAAAACACACACACACACACACACACGGACAGGACACAGCCCAGGACACAGGACACAGGACAAGGGATCCAGTCCTCTGGGCACTACTGAGTGTCCCATTCAGTGACCAGTGCCCATGTGCCCCCAATGCCCTGCACGGAATGTCTACTTCAGTGGTGCCATCTCCCCTATGTCCCTGGCATCATGCTGGGCAGGAGCCCATGGGCATGAGGCACCATGTTCACACCACCCTCGGCTCCTGCTCCCTGCAGGTCCTGGATCGCCCGATGGTGATCGCGGCTTGAGAAGGAAAAGCATGGCTGGGCCAGCAGAACGCTCTGCACTGCTGACCCTGGGACCTGGCACGCTGGCTGCACTAGGGAGCAGGGGCAGAGGTGGACAGAGGCCCTGCTGACAGAGGTGGTCACTTATGCTGGGAGCCAGAGGGAAGGCACCCTCCTGGCACATTCCTGGGTAAGTCCCCCCATGGAGAACCCACAATTACATTCACCAAGAAGGGGCGGTTCTGACAGCATAAGTAGCCAAAGAAAAGCAGGAAACAGGCTGTATCTGGGCAAAAGACACACTTTATTGTTTCTTGTGGTTTCTGGGGGCCTCAGGCTGGGCTGGGCTCAGTGTCCTCCACCGGGACAGGGCGGGGTTACGGAACAGAGCGGGGTTCCGTGGCTCTGATTGTGGTAGTCCGTGGCTATGACTCCCAACACCGACAGAAACTCGGAAAACTCGATCTTCTTATCCTTATTCTTGTCCTTTTCCTCAAAGATATGGTCCAAGAAATCATTGCCCTTTTTGTCCTGTGGGAAAGACACGAAACAAGACAAATTCAATCCCAAAAGTGTTATGGGTAGAATAGGAGGAGAAGGAGGCAGAGAGGGGGAGAGAAGACCTGCGGCTGCACAGGTGTAGCTGGTGTGAGTCAGTGGGGGGTCCTGGGGATGCGGGTGGGCGGGGGGGGGGGGGGTTAGCATTACCCTGGAGGGCACTGAGGGAGATTCCTTGGGCCAAGTGTCAACATGAATGAAAAACCTAGTAGTGGGGAGGCACTGATCAATGAGCTGGTGGGTGGGTGGTCTTTAGACCCAGACCCACTCCCCCCACCCACTTCCAGGACCCCATCTACCTAAGTTTTATCCAGAAATCCAAAATAGGCCCTACCCCTTGTCTCTTCATTCCTAACCCTCCTCTCCTATCTCCTGTTTGCCTTCCTGAATCTTCCATGCTCAGTGCCCTCTTGCTCACCTACTCTCTGTGTCACCTAGTAGCCTCTCCTTTTATAATCAGTTCAGTTCATTCTAACTGTCACACTAAATCAGGTCTATCAATGAGCTCTTTCACTGTAATGAAAGGTGTTAAATTTTATCAGCCATGGGATGTCTATCACCTTCCCTTGGATCTCAGAGAACCGAATGGAGGCTTCTGGAGGCAGAGCCTGAGCCTCTGGGCTTCAGTCTCCTGGATGGAGAGTGACAAGTGGGAGGGAACCCATTCTTTACTCTCCTATTTCACCACCTGATAACTACCCTTGATCTCCAGATGCCTTTACACTTGGCCACATGTGTCATCTCTTTCATCCTGATAATAAGTCAGGAAAGTCCTCTTAGGCCTTTTTGCAGATGAGAATATTGAGGATCAGAGAATGGGGTTGACTTGTCCAAGGTCCCACAGCAAAGTGTCCTCTGCCACGCCAGGACCTGGAGAAGTCACCCAGACTTACACAGGCTTTGAGGAATATAGGGAAATTCTCCCTCAGCATCTTCAGCAGGCCCCGCTTGTCAATCTTGTCATCGGGTTTGGTGTATTTGTGGAACAGGACAACCAAGTCCATCATGGACTTCTCAACTTGAGTTTGACTCATCTTGGTTTTCAAGGAAGCTGCCAGAGAGAAAGACGGGGACCTTTGTTATCCTTCCCCCCAGGTGAGGGTCCCTAAGTCAGGACAACGGGGTGGGAACTGAGCATCCAGTGAAGTGAGGCTCAGGTGGGAGCAGAAGGAACTGTATCACCCTAGGAGGTGGGATGAGATGCTCACAAGGAGGAGAGCGTGACCAAGGCCATGAAGGTCAGGGCCCAGAAGAGATGGGGGAGAACACAGAAGCCCACTGTGGACGGAACCACAGGAGGCAGAAGCAGAGAGGGTAGGGGTCAACCACACGGAAAAGGACTAAAGTCTTAGTTGGGACCTGAGCCAACTAAGGATGACTCCACTCTTCAAAGAACATCAAATCCATCTCCTCCAGGGTCAACATCAGGGTTGGAGTCACCGAGACAAAATAACTTCCTGACTAGTCTGGTCTGACCCACCCTGAGCTGCTCTTGGAACAAGATCCCAGAGGAGCCCATCCTGAACATAAAGCAAGCTGTCAGTGAAATGGGCCCTGGAGGCTCCCAGCGGGGAGTGGAGTAGGATGGTGAGTGTGAACAGAGAAGCACAGCCCTGTCCTGAGCTCCCACAGAGGTTTTCCTAGACCATCCCCACCAGTGGGAAGAAGGGACTGCTGAACAGAATTGGCATCATATTTGAAATAAACAGAAATACCTGCTTCAGTTTTAGACTCTTGGGTGGAATGTGGGGAGTTAGGCTCCTTCAGATGACCTTTGTACCTCCCTGCTCTCTGGAACCCCAAGGCTAGACCACATTTAAGTAAAGAGGTCTGACTTCCCAAAGCCAGTACCTCCACCAACAGTCTGGACCCCAAGCAGAGAAATGGGACAGTGCAGCCCTCACACCCCAGACTTTCCAAAGCACCCAAGAAACGTGCATGGATCACACATGTGGGCATCTAACACAAACTACCATTGTCTCCTGATCTGGGAGAAAGATCCTTGCTGCTATGTCCCTAAGTGGAACCACCTGAGGCCTTCTGTCAACTTGACCAAGGCCAGAGCTGAGCCCTGTGCACAGAAGGTCACTGGTCATTCCCTCAGCTGGGGAGGAGGTCCAAAACCTTAGTTGATGGGTCTCTGATCCATGTAGTGGCAGGTCTTCTCACCAGGGCAAGGTGAGTGGGCATCACTGGCCTGGGTTTAGGAGAAACTTCAAGACTTTGGTAGAGACACCCACTCTCCCAAGGTGGGGATGCACAGTGGGTCCTCACCAAACCGGGGCCTGACAGTCAGGTGAGTCCAGAGAGAAAAGAAGACAAGGAGGAGAGGGAGAGTCATGTCCTCCGCTCCCACCAGGGACGTTTCCAAAGAGTTGTCACAGAGGAGCCAACAGAGCAATGGGAGCATCGGTGCAGTCATCGTATAGATGAGGACCTCAGGACCCCGTGGGATGAAGTCACACGGCCCCATAACAGGCAGAGCCCCGTTACAGGCAGAGCCCCATTACAGGCAGAGCCCCATCACATCTGGACCCAGGCTCCTGAATCCCCTCTCATCACTGCTTTCCCTACTCCTACAGACAGCAGAACACACTGGGCCCTGAGCACCCCCTCTTACCCCCGGCAATGAGTCAGGTGCATACTTACCAGAGCTGACAGGTATCACTGAGGAGAAGGATGAGTGTGTTATGCATTTGAGCAAAGACTGGTCCCTTTATAAGGCTCCGTCTGGCTCATCCCAGGATCTGGGAGCCCTGGGGTCATGTTTTCTGTCTCCTTCCTGGACCATTGCCCCACTCAGGTGAGTGTGACACACCTAGGAGTGTGTGTTCAGCATGTCCCAGTAAAATCCCAGGCAACTCCCAAAGGACAACACCTAGAGCTTTCTTCTGTCCCTTACTTAACCTGGGGCTGGGGTGGGGAACACAGTGGGATGTGTCATAATAGGACAGAAAATTTGGTAGAGAAAACTGGGTTTCTGAACATAAAAAGGATGGGACTCTGAAAGGCAGCATGGTCTGTGTTTACTCATCACTCAGTCCTTCCACAGTTTGTTCTGACATCTAACACAACTCTCTCCAGGTTAATAAGTCCTTACCTGTGCCAGGCATCACCTTACCTTCTGTATTGATATGCCTCTTAAACCTTCATAACCTTATGAGATGGTGCTGTTACCCTCATGTCGAGAATGTGGAATTGAGGTAAGCAAAGTTCCTATGTGCATGAGGCTAATAGACAGCAAGGTCAAGATATGATCCCAGAAAAGCCTGATTCAAAACCTCACTCCTAACCCCACTACAAGACCTCTAGGGTCACTGCAGGGCCGGTGAACTCGAAGTCCAGAGAGGGAGGCAGGGTCGTCTTCATGTGGGGTCCTCACTGGAGCGCTAGGAGGGAAAGAGGTGGCATGACCCACAGTGACAGACCAGGGAACACAGAGAGAACAGCACATCACCTGCAGGTGAGGGAAGACACAAGGTCAGAGCTCTGAGTTCTGGCGTTAGCCCCACACTCTTGAACTTCACTTTGCAGCTCCAGGGGCTTCCTGGGCCCACCAAGGAAGCCACTGTCTAGACTCAGGGATGGTGACCACCATGAAATGAGCCAGCAGGAAATTAGGCAAAGTTGCCTCCCTACCCATGATGATGCCTTCCTATAAATTCCTCAGTGATGTTCCTCTTTCCCTTATGCAAAACAGTCTGCTTAAGAGTCAGTGGCCATGCCCTGGGGTCTGTTGTGTCCCAACCTGCTGTGGAAACTCTAGTTCAGGTGCAGGAGACAGGAGCTCGGAGTTCAGGATGAAGCCTGGGAACCTCTGGGGCACGGCCCTGCTGACTCACTGAGGACTTCTTGTTCCTGCTCTCTGCTCCCCTTAGAACATCCTCCCCTGAGTGAGGGGACTGCTCAGGCATCGGGCACCCTGGGACCAGGCCCACCGCTGAGCTCCCAGGTCAGGCCCTCCCAATGCACTGGGCCTCCAGGCAGCTCCTTTCTCTCCCCAGTTATGTCCACATCTGCACCAGCACCAGATCTCTCTGGTCACTGGCTTAATTGTATGGTATTCCTTTGTGTGGATGTGACGTAATTTTCTATAATTCTGCTTCAGATACCACATGCTCTTCATTTTCTTGTCTTCTTTTGGATGGTTTCCAGCTCAGGTGACCAGGGATTTTGACCTCTGACCTCATGTTCCCCTGGGGATCGGCCATCCTGCTTGGTGAGGTATGTGGAAAGGGCCCAGGGCAGGCCCTGGTTCTGTACGTCCTGGGTGTTCAATGAATGAGAGGGGGATGAGCCCAGGCCCCAGGGACCAACTTCAAAACAACTCTGTTTGCTGTGAGAGACACTAGTGTTCCCAACTCTTGTGACTGACAGCCAAGTCCCACCCCAGCATCTCCCTTATCAGTCACCACCACCAGAAAGGCTGTAGGTATCTTCCAATCCCTGAGCCAAAAGTCCTTTGGCAACATGGGCTACACACCCAGGTCCATCACTTGGAGCCATCTCGCAAGCATTCACTGTTTATCCTGAGCCTCTCTTTCATTCATCCCAATGGACTCTGGACCCCAGCTGTCCTTGGCTGTTTAGAGCTGAGACCTGGACCATTTGTTCAAGGTACAAAATTTAAGCACTCACTGTGTTTTAGGATGAACATATGGCAAGAAAATTTTATTACATATGTATCTCTTCTCAATGCTCACACTTTAGAAGGGAAGACAAAAAGAATAAAATAGAAACTGTGGATGCTGGAGATGTACAGTGACACACTGTATAACCCCAGGAGGGAGGGGTAACTTTCTGAGGAGGAGAGGTGGACCGAGATACCTTAGATGAGGCATTTGAATGAACTTCAACACCTAGTGTTCAAGCAAGCAAACCAGGGAAAGAGATTCCAGACCTTGACATGTGAGCAAAACTACAGCTCAGAACAGACATGACATCAGGAGGACAGAAACACGTCTAGAGCCAAAAGTGTGAAAGTGAGAGGTTTGGGAGAGGCACCAACTATGTCCAACCCAGTACCCAACTCCTCTTCTGAACTAACAGAGCCCAGTTTTGCTTGGGGTTTAGGGTGCCCAGTACCCCCATGTGCGTCTGGTCTCCTCTAAGCCATTCTGACAGTCCTGTCCTTGCTTTCCCTATGCCCCTTGCAACCAAGAGTGAACATGTGTCCCACCGGTTCTGCCCAATGAAACTGAGTGATGCTGGGCCAGGCCTCTGGGACTCTGCTTTTCTGACAGGAGGGCACAGGGGGAGCTGGCCCTGCCATGCCTCACCCCATGCCTGGGTTGCTGGTCCGGGACACAGGCAGTCATCACAGAAATGTTCCTTCCCGTAATGTCACTATCAAGCCCCACCTATCACGTGAGCCTCCTCTAATTGCTAGCCATCAATAATAGCATTCATCTGACCTGTGTCTTTATTTGCTTCGTGGAAGTTTCTGGTTTTTGTTTTCTTTTGTTTTGTTTTTTGTCCCGTCAGTCTGAAGGGACAAAATACCTTACTCAGCCTTGGTATGGGAGTGTCATTTCTGTCTTTAACCTCAGAGCTGAGCAGGAGGCCAACCACAAGAGGAGTTGCTGGGACAGTGGTTTTATGAAAGGGGATCTGCCATAAGCAGAAAAGAACTTCAAGTCTCACTGCTTCGGGGCAAGAAGAATGGGCTCCTGCTGAGCGGGGTAGAAAGAGGGAGTCAGGAGAGTGAAGGAAGGCTGGACGGAGGGCAGGAAGGTAACACTAGATAGAGAATGAGAGTTCAGGACCAGAGACAGCGTAGCTCCCTGTATTTCTTTCCTATTCTGTAACAAATTGGCACAAACTTGATGGCTTAAAACAATGCAAATATATAACAGTTCAGGAGGTCATAAGTCCCAATGAGCTAAAATCAAGGTGTCAGCAGGGCCATGTTCCTTTCCGATGCCCTAGAGCAGCGGTTCTCAACCTGTGGGTCGCGACCCCTTTGGGGGTCAAACGACCCTTTCACAGGGGTCGCCCAAGACCATCGGAAAACACATATATAATTACATATTTTTTTGTGATTAATCACTATGCTTTAATTATGTTCAATTTGTAACAATGAAATTGGGGGTCACCACAACATAAGGAACTGTATTCAATTTTAAGAAGTCATTACAATGTAAATACTCCTTTATTACCTGCTGACACTTGGGGGCGACTAATTAGCATCCAGCTGAGAGCAAGGCCCTGGGAAAGACAGGTGAGATTTGAAGAGGAGTTGGATGGAGGGAGGGATGGGAGAGGTCCTAGGTGATACTCTGTCTCCTCCTCGGCTCCCCTGTCGGGAGGACTCCAGAGAAACCACTACCAGCCTTAGGCATGTCTTAAAGCCCCTCCTCACCCTGGGAACCAGGAACCTCACCCTCCACACCCCCGCTCTCAGCCCAGGATCTTGGCTACACCTGCCATACCATAGGCACTGCCCCGCTGGGGAAGGTTTCCTGCCAACGGTTAGCACTTGGATGTTGGCACCAACCAATGCAGGTGAGTCGGATGATCTTACTGCCTAGATATGCCGTGGCACAACCTGCCGCTGTGGAACCCGGCCTCAGGCCCTTCCTCCCTCCACCCAGGCCTTGCTCAAGCCTTTCCCCACCCCAAATTCTGCCCCCTTCCCCCCACAGCTCTACTCCTGATGTCCCTCCACACCACCCCCATCTCAGAGCCCTGCCACCCAGAACTTCACCCCCGATCTGCTACCCAGTTTGTCTCCTGCCTTCTCAGCAGAGGCCGTGTCCTCCTCCTTCAGACTGTACGACCTTTGAGGGTGAGAGCTCTCCTTCCTCCCTGGGTGGTCCTTGGGAGGAGGTTGTGCACTTCCACTGCTGGCACTGATTCAGGGCAGGGCCCAGTCTTCCCACTCAGAGTGGGGGCTCCCTGGGGGCCTCTCCTGCCTCAGTCTATCTCTAGACCCTGCTTCAGACCTCTCGGCCCAGAATGCAGAGGAAGGGAGACACGTGCCCTCATCCCAGCTCCTCAGGGATCGAAGATTGGGGAGGATCCCAACAAGCCAGCAAAGAAAGGAGATGAGCAGGTCAGCTTTCAGTGTTGCCAAGAGCTGGCATGGTGTGATCCCTCAATTGGCAATTATTGGTAAGCTACTCAGAGCCAGGTCTAATCCAACTAATACGGACTCTTCCCACAACCTCACCTCAGCAATTTAGCTGGATTTGCACGTAGCTACAGTCAAAAGAGGCACAAATCTGATTCCAGTGGCAGCTAAGCTTTTCTTAAAGGGCTCAATCATAAAAATATCATAAAGAAATCTCCAGAAAGTTTTACCAGAAGCCATTTCCTCTCCCGGAAATTTCACGGTCTCGGCACAAAAATCTCTCCAGCTCTCTCATCCAGCTCCCTCACTGCCTCACTCTCCCCACCCCCTCGTCCTCCACCACGTTCCTGGTCACTAATGGCATAATGACCTCAAAGTTCATCCATGTTGTAGCATGTGTCAGAATTTCCTTCCTTTTTAAGGCTGAATGATATTTTATTGCATGTATGTACTCTGCTTTGTTCATCTCTCCATTGATAGACACTTGGGTTGCTTCTACCTTTTGACTATTGTGAAGAATGTGGCTATGAACATGGGTGTGCAAATAACTTTTTGAAACCATGCTTTCAATTATTTTTGAAAATAGGAATTGCTGATAATATGGCAATTCTGTTTTTATTTATTTTTTGAGGAAACTCCATACTGTTTCCATTTTACATTCCCACTGGCAGTGCACAAGGGTTCCAATTCTTCACATCCTCCCCAACACTTATTATTTTCTATTATAGAATCATATGGTTTTTATATGTTTAATATTTTGAGGAACTGCATATTGTTTTCCACAGCAGCTACACCATTTTACATTCTTACCAACAGAGCACAAAAGTCCCAATTTCTCCCTATCCTTATCAACACTTGTTTTTTTTTTTTAACATTAGCCATCCTAATAGTGTGAGGTGATATCTCCTTGTGGATTTGATTTACACTTGCATTTCCCTAAATGCTAGTGATGTAGACCATCTTTTCATGTGCATATTGGCCCTTTGTGTATCTTCTTTAAAGAATTGTCTATTCAAGTCCTTTGCCTATTTTTTAAATTGGCTTGTTTATTTTGTTGTTGTTAACTGATAGGAGTTCTTTATATATCGTGCATATTAACCCCTTATCAGATATATAATTTGTAAATATTGTCTCCTGTGTCATAGGTTGCCTTTTCACTCTCTTGATTGTGTCTTTTGATGCACAGTTTTATTTTTGTTGTTGTTGTTGTTGTTGTTGTTGTGTGTGTGTGTGTGTGTGTGTGTGTGTGTGTTAGTTAATCCTCACCCGAGGCTCTTTCTGTGGGCTGATGCTCTAACCACTTAACAACACCAGCCATGGCATTTCTTTTGCTGCATGAGCTTTTGGTGTTGTATCCAAACAATCATTGCCAAATCCACTGTCAGGAAGATTTCCTCCCATGTTTTCTTACGAGTTTTATCGTTTCAGCACTTGCATTTAGGTCTTTGGTAATTGTTTGTATCTTAAGCTGGTGGGTAATTTGGGCGTCCTTGTGTTATCTGTTACATGGAGTGGTGGGTGTGTGCATAGGTCTTCCTTTGCTCCTCCTGCTTTTCTAAGACCATCCGAGATGAGGTCTGGTCAAGCTCTCCTTGTCAGTGTCTCTGGGGCTGCTACCTAGAAACCCACACGTGTATATCTTACAACAGATATTGCCTTCTTCTCTGTCTCTCAGGTAAAACCACGTAGGAAGCAAATGTCATCTAAAGAATGGGGTATTTACCCCATCCACGTGCTTGTCACCCGAAACACCAAGAGCACCGAGCTAGAAGTTCTTCTCAAATTACTGGGCGTAAGAGAGGCCAACCAGCCATCCGTGTTGGTAGAATGACACTCCTTTCCACCAACCTCTTCCCCTGAGTCTCCTGCACCAATTCTTGCCCTGGAGTCACCAGGAAAGAAGAAACCCAGAGTCGGGCCTCCTGATGCAAGGGCTTGAACATATTATAAAAATTATAATTAGAACATTCTGGAAGACACACCCTGGAAGGGAGCTCAGATGTGCCAATGTTTTCACTATCTTAAAATCACACGAGCCAAGTGCCAGGCTCATGATGCAAGGGTTTTGTGTGATGGAAAGACGTGGGAGACACTGTTCCTCTGCTAAAGAAACAACCTAGTGAAGGCAGCCGATGTGTGAAATCTCACGGTGAACAACACTAGCCCGAGGGCCGAACACCATGTGCATTCCAGTTCCTCTCCTTCCCCGCTATGTGACCTCGCCAAGTCACTTCTCCTTTCAAATGGGGCTAACAATATTCACTCCACAGAGTCGTTAAGGGTTAAACACGATGATACCTGTAAAGTGGTTAGTAAATAGTTTGATGTGTGGCGAAGGTGATAGCAGCAATAGCAGCAGGACCATGCGATGGCATCAGGCTTACATTCACTTCCACCTACATCTAAGCAGCAGAGGAAAAGGGCCAATTAAAACAGTGCTAGAGACTCTGCCTGGGTGTGAAGTGGGAGGTGGGACACCCCAGCGCCTTGGACCTTCTCAGCTTCCCTGGGTGATCATCTCACTGAACAGAGAACATCATTAACGATAAAGAAACATCCCTGTCACACAACACGGCATCTCACCCCAAGCCAAGTGCCTCATCTGAGGAAACAGCCATCCTTCCCAACAACTGAAACACGTGTCTGTGTTAAACTTACCGAGAAAAGGCATGGCAATCTCCAATGGAACATCTTGAAGGACTTCCAAGGATACAAATAGTTCACGCTTATATAGGGTTTACTTGGTGTCAGGTATTGTTCTAAGGGCGTTCTGCATTTTAATTCCTTTAACCCTCACACTACATGGAAGAGGTAAGAACTGTTATTGTCTCCCCACTTTATAGATGTGGGAACTGAGGCACACTGGGGTTAAGTAACCTGCCCAAGATCACATAAGTAGTAAAGGCAGAGCCTGGATTTGAACTCAGACAGTCTATCGCTAGATTCAACGGTCTTAATTGCTAGACTTTAGTACCTATTTTAAATATGCTTATTTTTATGTCTCATGCTACCTTCTTTGTGAGTCATGACTCAACAGTAGCAGAAGTGGCAGTGGTAGTGGCAGTTGGAGGAGGTGGCAAGAGGGTCAGTCATGATCAGAGTTCAAGGGCATGAATGGGGACATTCAACCACTAGAGTGAAGCTGCAAAAGCTGAGGGCTCTAAATCCAACCTTGAAATTCATGAAAGTTCTCCCTTGATCCTAAAAGTTGAGCTGTCCTTTTCCTTCTGGGTCCAGACGTGAGGAGGTGCCGAACTGCTGAAACAGGGACCGAGGCTGTTCCCCCATTTCTCACCAGGCAGAGAACAGATCAAACACTGAAACACCACCAGGTGGGCTCCCTTCCTGGAGATTAATTCTTACGTCAATCCTGGCAGCTCTTCACAGATTATAAACCCTTTTAATCCCATTTAGTCTCGGGACAGTAGGATGATTGGATTCTGGTTCTGAGCCAGCCCCACGGTCCAACGTTCATCCCTCTGAATGACTGAATGAGAGGTGACTCACTTTGTTTTGGTTTTTCACTGCTGCTCCTGCTCTTCCCCCTGCACCTGTCAGCAGTCAGGGCAATAGATGTGGACAATGACTAAAAACTCAGGACAAAACTCAGCAAGAAGGGGGAGTGAACAGTCCCAGAGTGCCAATGAGGTGCCAGGCTCTGCTTTAACTCTCTAAATACCCAGTGCCCGTTTCTGGGCGAGGAAACCAAAGATTGAAAGAGGTGGATCTCTCCGAAGTCACACAGAGGCTGAGTTGTGGCTCCAACCGGAGTCAGTTTCCCCACAGCCCGGGACATGCTGCTGGTTTACAGGTGGTGAGACTCAGGCTGGGAGAAATCAAGTGACTCGCCCGAGGCTACACTTCTGGTGAGGCGCAAAACCAAGTCTTTTTTTTATATATATATATTTTTACTGATTTCAGAGAGGAAGGGAGACTGAGAGAGAGATAGAAACATCAATGATGAGAGAGAATCACCGATCGGCTGCCTTCTGCATGCCCCCTACTGGGGATCGAGCCCCCAACCAGGGCATGTGTCCTGACCGGGAATCGAACCCAGGACCCTTCAGTCCGCAGGCCGACGCTCTATCCACTGAGCCACACCGGCCAGGGCCAAAACCAAGTCTTAACAGAGTCCTGAACCCTAACCCCGACACCCATGCCTTTTTTGGAATGTGGGGGCTCTATTTATTCCTGAGAGAAGCAATACTTATGCAATTTGCTGACCACTTAGTTGACAAGCAGGGAATTTTCTGACACACAAGATTGGTTAGGGGGTCCCTGAGGTGAGGCTTTAGGGTGGGAAATCCCAGTGTATGGAGGTTAGGTTCTGGAGGAAAACACACCCTCACCCCCAAACATGTTTAAAAGGTCCCATCTCAAGCCCAAGATGAGTTATCTCACCTCCATCCAACTCTGTGTTCAGTCCAGGCCCTGGGGTACAGCCCTGCCCAGGCCGGCGTTCCAGGTGCCAAAGGAGGGTAAGGTCCCCACTCAGCCCACTGGCCCCCCAGGGGCTCTGGGACCTCCTGGGGTGGCAAAATGGGCTAACTTTAGGAGACGTGCTATTTTGCTCCTAAATGCTCACCTTTTGGTTCCATCCTTGAATCCTCCTGTTAGGCCCTTTTCCTGCTGAGTGCACCTGGTGCCCTCCCTCCATCTAGCACCCCATCCAGTTATATCCTTCCCCCCTCCCCCAACCCCCACAAAGGCTCTCCAGCACAGGCCTTATCAGAGCATTGGGTCCCCATGTCCTCCCCATCTGACAGGCTCTGCTATTTGCCCCACCTGCCCTGTTCTCCTCTGGCTGCTAAAGGCAAGATGTTAGAATCTGAAAATTCAGGAAAGAGAGAGGGGTTCTGATCCCAGTTCCCCATTCCCACCCTTGTACAGGAGTGTCTGAACTGCAGGGGGGTTTCTCCGCAGAGGAGGATACAATGATACAAACCAGCCTCCACCCTGTGGGTTCAAGGTGGGTCCTTGAGGTTGAAACTGGCAAGAGGAAAAAGAGAGACTGAGGTGGCTTTGATCTCAGATTTAAGTAAACCCCAGGAATCAGGGGGGGGGGCATTCCTCACACCCAATACACAACCACGGTTATGCTTTGGGACCCAATTTATAGGCCATTTTTAACCCCAAGAGCTCTCCTCCCCTTCCCCCTGCAAGCCCCAAGAATTTGGTTTTCTTCCTCTCCTCTGTGCCAACTCCTTCATCCTTGGGGTTGCAGCAGTCATCCTCAGTGGTCAACCATCCACCAGTCCCCTCCCCCACTTCCATGACCAAAGCTGAAATGCCAAAAACATTCCAAAGCTTCCTTTGCATGTAGAAGGGGCCAGTGGAACCAGGTCTGGCCAGTGATCTTAAGAAAAAGTCTTCTGGGGAGGTTATGAGAAAGATTTCCTGCTTTGGAAAGAAAAGGATATTGGCAGACTGTGTCCCCTGCCCTTCCTTCTTACTGTAGCTACTGTCACTGGAGGAGCTTTGCTTATTGCCGCTGAGCACCTTTCTTGAGGGGAGCGAAAAGAATTGCAGAGTAACTGGCATAGTTGAGCAGCAGAATTAACCAAAGCAAGACCCTCTGACATCCAGATTTTTTGTTATATGAGATAATAAGCCTCTATTTATAACTTTAAATTGGTTATTCTGTGTTTTTGCAACCAAAAGTATCCTCACTGCTACAGAGTGCTCCTTCCCAGCTGCCATCCTTGTAGCAGCCCAGACACCAGACATCATCCAGAAATCCCAACCGCTCTCCGGTCCAGGGGCCCACTTGGGCTGCACTCCTGCCTCCTGTTATATCACTCACGGAAGAAGAGACTGAGCAAACACAGGGAAACCTGAGCCTTGAATCAGATCATCAGACCCCAAAGGGAGGTCTGGAGCGATAAGGTCGGGAGAAACGGGGCCCAAATTATCCAGTTTGGCTTTTTCCACTGATGCAGCTTGGCGTCATGTTCCTCCTATCTTCTAAAGAATATAAATATATGTCTACTATCTTCTACATGTGACCTCTTCCTCCTGTAACTTCCTGCTTAGTAGGTCACCGCTTCTGATCTTATCAATTCCAAACCCCTCCTGCCCTTGCCCTCAAGGCTTTCCGCACACAGTCCGCGCCAGCTCACTCTGCTCTGGCCTGACAGGTCTCACAGTCCCACCCCACGCCCTCCT